GGGGGTGCTTCTTTCTTATTTTATTATTTTGGATTTTAATTTAATATTTAAACCCAAATTTCGAATGTTAAGGTCATCTTCAATCCTTATCTTTAACTTAAACTAAAATTTAAATTTAAATATAAATAACTCAAAAATCATCTAACTCTTTATTCAAACCTATACCAAATTAAGAGAGAGGTCATTCTTAACCTAAATTGGGACTCAAATTCCTTACCCAAATTCTTAAAGTGATATTTTATCAAATTCTTTGTGTATTCACTGTGCCAAAATCTTGGTTCTCTGTCTTCCTCTCCTCACAACTTTTGGTATCAGCGACCACTCATCTCTTCACAGCTTCAGGCACCATCGGCCACTACATATCATCTATGCTTTTTTTCTCCTCGAAGCCCCCATAATAAAACGCTAACCCTAACCATCTCTCCATCAACCATGGTGTTTGATCGACACAGTTTGAATTTGAAATCGAATATCCAAAAACCTCCGAACAAACTTCGGTGAGGCAAACTTCAAGAAGATGATGGGGAGAAGTTCTAAATTCTCGCTTGGGTCTTTGTCTATAGTTGAAATTGTGAAAGATTTGGTCTTTTGGTGTTGTGATCATGCTTCGAATTCAATGAATCTTGAGTTTTTGGTGTTGGGTGATGTCTTTGTTGATATGGTATGAATACGTTATTAATTAGTTCACACTGATAATGAAATTTTATTTTAATGACAATACTACCCTCATTATATTTTAAAGAGTTTTTTTTTAATTAAAAAAATTTAGGTATACCTCCTCTTCTCCTCACTCTATCCCCAGCGTGAAACCATCGGTCCCTCACACCACGTTAACTCTCATGACTTACCCGATCTCTATGGTGTCGACTTGCCGATCAATAAATTGTTTTTGGATTCCATAGTTGCAACACAGGGTACTGTAGATCCCATGTTGCTGGTCAAAGAAGCGTATGAACGGTTCATAAATCCGTATTTGGTACTCTTGAAGACTCCATGGTTCTTTGATTCAATCCACATTTTTTTATGAAATCTGGATCGATTATCCATAACTCCAAAAAACTCCATAATCCTCTGATCAAATCTTCATCTTTTTATGGAACCACCCTTTTTGCGGATTGATTCTCCACATTATCCACCAAATCATCTTAACTTGTAGAGACTGAAATTTTTTTGTTTTAAATTTATTTCTTTCATAGTTTCTAGTTAAACAACAAAATTGTAAATTTTGCCATAGTTGTTGATGGTGTGTACAACGTGATTAAGCAGAATATGTATACTACGGGATTTAATCTGAGCTACGGGGCTCTTAGAAATAATGTGGTAACTTTTGGGGAAAAATGTGGATTGTACAGAGGAGTTATAGTGGTTGACCAGCTCAGGAGCTCGCCTAATCCATTCTTCAAGGGATTCTCTTATTCCTGGGAATTATATTGAAGATGAACAAGGGATTACACAGCCCTTTTGGTATTATTTTGATTCCTTTCAAAGTGAGGACTTTGTATAGTATTTATAACTTAGTTCCTAGTTTCATAGAGTCTGGGATGAGATCTTCGCCTCTCTCATGTAACGCTTTGTGTGATTTTAGGCAATGGTCTAGGCGGTTGAGGTTCTTGCGCCTAGACTGGTGTTTACTGCCGTTGAAAGGGCATTTAGTGGTTGCCAGCTGTCTTCCACTCATTTTCTTTGAGGTGTAGGCCGAGGGGGCCTAAGGTCTGGACTTCCTAGCTCGGATTTCCTTGGCTGAGCTCCTTCCTAACTTCAATACCCAAGCTCAGACTTGAAATTTTTCTAGATATCAACAGTTGTCCCCCAGTCCCTGGTCAAAGTGGGTTTAAGCAGGGGCTAAGCTGTAGTTGGGTCCATATGTCGAACGTGCACTTATTTCTTTCTTGTTTCTTGTGCACGTCCCACATTTCGAAGGCCCACGTACACTAAACTTTAAATGCTCCTGCGATGAGGGAAACTATCTCACTTCACCTTTTGACAGGCTTTGCCTTTTCTCTTCCCTTACGATTTTAGCTTCCTCAATTCGCTGGAGATCTTAGGGTTTCGTTGGAGAACAAATTCCCCCCAATTTGACTCGAAGATTCTGCGAGGTGTGCCCTCCGATTTCACTTCGGGCTTCGGTTTATCGCTTGCTCTTGAGTAGGTACGCTTCTTGGCTCTATTCATTTCTTTGTTCTGGATTCTTTGAATCCGAGGTGGTTGTTGCATTTTTGGACCTTTTGTTTTTACTACTTTAGGAATCGAGACTACTCCTTGTCTTTATTTCCCTCTTTCTAGACCCTTATTCCACTGCTAAAGTCTTCCTCATTGGTCATTGGTGTCTTGGCCCCTCGACTCTTAGGCATTGTTTTGTTAACATCTCATTTCCTTATTCCTCCTTTTATCTCCCTTTTTTCTAGTCCTGTCATGTCTGACTCTTCCGAAGCTACTGCTTCGTCAGTCTCTCTTGCCATGGGCAAGAGGTCTGCTGGGGAGGAGGACATCGATTTAGGTTACGTAGGTGATGAGATTGATAATTTTTTCGGTGTCAATTCTGTAGATGTTGGGGAAGAAGCTAAGGAGCTCCCCTCATCATCTTCTCCTGTGCCCAAGAAGTCTATGAAATGAAAGACCAAAGTGAGTGGTGTTGGGGTTTCTAGCAGCATTGAGGAGATAGTGACTGTCCCTAGAGCCTCAGACCTCATGGGTTTTACTGAGGTCACACCCCTTTTCATGAGGTTTTATCTGCTCGTTATGGCTTTCCTCAAGGGTATGCACTATTGGTGTCCTCCTGTGCACATCAGGTATGACTCCCTAGATCCCTAAGAAGGTCTGTTTCTTTGTGACCGTTTTCAAGAGCGGCCTTCATTTTCTAATGCACCTCTTTCTTAAGAGCGCTCTTCAACATTTCAATGTTTGTCCCGCTTAACTTTCCCCCAATTTTTGGGGTATTCTGATGTGTCTTCTTGTTTTCTTCAAGAAGCATAATCTTGGTGTTCCTACCATGCCTTTGCTTATGAAGTTCTTCAATGTCAAGTTCACTTCTTCTGATGGTTTCCTGTATGTTTTTAAATGGGTAAAAGCCCGAGTTATCATTACTAACCTCCTGAGCTCCCACAAGCGTTGGAAAAAGCTCTTATTCGTTATGTCTGATAGAGAATGAGAATACAATCCCGGAGATGTAGCTGACACCCTCCAAGTGCCACGGGCTTGGTCTACCCCTGATAATCTAGGTAAGCCCTACCTGAGTAAGCTTGGATCAGCCTTGACGCTTTATTCTACTAAACTGGTTTTGCTTGTTTTGTTTCGTTTTTTAGGTATTCGACTAGAGCTTAGTGCTGAGGATAAGCTAGTTCTATTGGGCTTAGAGGATTGCGAGCCAGAGAGGTATTCCGAGCTCATTAAGCTCAAAGTGCTTACCGAATTTAGGTTTAGTCCTTCAAAGGTGAGGGTTGAGACCCCTATTCCCATTTCTGTAGCTGGAGTAGAGAAGGTGATAGGGAATACTTCCTCTTTCTATCCTTAATTTCTATCTTACTTCTTCCTTTTTTCTTTATGATCTGTTTGCTTTGGATTTCCAAGTTCTAGCTCTATGGATCCAAGTTCGAAAGCTTAGAGGGCGAAGGTTAATCTGTTAAGGAAAGGCAGGAGTGGGGGAAAATGCAAGGCCAAGATCGGATCAGGAAGTGATTCTGCCCCCCANGAGACTACTCCTTGTCTTTATTTCCCTCTTTCTAGACCCTTATTCCACTGCTAAAGTCTTCCTCATTGGTCATTGGTGTCTTGGCCCCTCGACTCTTAGGCATTGTTTTGTTAACATCTCATTTCCTTATTCCTCCTTTTATCTCCCTTTTTTCTAGTCCTGTCATGTCTGACTCTTCCGAAGCTACTGCTTCGTCAGTCTCTCTTGCCATGGGCAAGAGGTCTGCTGGGGAGGAGGACATCGATTTAGGTTACGTAGGTGATGAGATTGATAATTTTTTCGGTGTCAATTCTGTAGATGTTGGGGAAGAAGCTAAGGAGCTCCCCTCATCATCTTCTCCTGTGCCCAAGAAGTCTATGAAATGAAAGACCAAAGTGAGTGGTGTTGGGGTTTCTAGCAGCATTGAGGAGATAGTGACTGTCCCTAGAGCCTCAGACCTCATGGGTTTTACTGAGGTCACACCCCTTTTCATGAGGTTTTATCTGCTCGTTATGGCTTTCCTCAAGGGTATGCACTATTGGTGTCCTCCTGTGCACATCAGGTATGACTCCCTAGATCCCTAAGAAGGTCTGTTTCTTTGTGACCGTTTTCAAGAGCGGCCTTCATTTTCTAATGCACCTCTTTCTTAAGAGCGCTCTTCAACATTTCAATGTTTGTCCCGCTTAACTTTCCCCCAATTTTTGGGGTATTCTGATGTGTCTTCTTGTTTTCTTCAAGAAGCATAATCTTGGTGTTCCTACCATGCCTTTGCTTATGAAGTTCTTCAATGTCAAGTTCACTTCTTCTGATGGTTTCCTGTATGTTTTTAAATGGGTAAAAGCCCGAGTTATCATTACTAACCTCCTGAGCTCCCACAAGCGTTGGAAAAAGCTCTTATTCGTTATGTCTGATAGAGAATGAGAATACAATCCCGGAGATGTAGCTGACACCCTCCAAGTGCCACGGGCTTGGTCTACCCCTGATAATCTAGGTAAGCCCTACCTGAGTAAGCTTGGATCAGCCTTGACGCTTTATTCTACTAAACTGGTTTTGCTTGTTTTGTTTCGTTTTTTAGGTATTCGACTAGAGCTTAGTGCTGAGGATAAGCTAGTTCTATTGGGCTTAGAGGATTGCGAGCCAGAGAGGTATTCCGAGCTCATTAAGCTCAAAGTGCTTACCGAATTTAGGTTTAGTCCTTCAAAGGTGAGGGTTGAGACCCCTATTCCCATTTCTGTAGCTGGAGTAGAGAAGGTGATAGGGAATACTTCCTCTTTCTATCCTTAATTTCTATCTTACTTCTTCCTTTTTTCTTTATGATCTGTTTGCTTTGGATTTCCAAGTTCTAGCTCTATGGATCCAAGTTCGAAAGCTTAGAGGGCGAAGGTTAATCTGTTAAGGAAAGGCAGGAGTGGGGGAAAATGCAAGGCCAAGATCGGATCAGGAAGTGATTCTGCCCCCCCCCCCCCCCCAACCAAGGTGCCAAGGTTAGAAATGCCTCTTGCTTCTCTCCTTTCTTCCTAAGTGATTCTTATTCGACCGTCGAGCTCTCCAATGGTCGTACAAACCTCACTTCCTCAAGGGACTGTGCCTTCCTCTCCTGCAGGGGGTCCTGAGCAAACTATTGTTCTAGCCTCTCTTTCATTGGCAGAGGTCAAGGGGGCCATAGAAACGATTGCTCGCATTCTGCCTGGGTCTTCCTCTCCTATATCGGCTAAGAAGTATCATCAACTACTCTAAGGGGCTCTAAGGTTGAGAAAGATGAGGACTCCCTTATTGATAAAGTGAAATTGGCTGCGGAGGCCATTGCCTCAATCATCCTTGAGTCTGATATCCAAAGGGCTACCACTATGCTCTTCTCTATTTCTGTCACCTCGGCCCTGTATGGTGCTACTTTGGTTAGTTTCTGGTTTTCTCAAGTTCCATTTTTGCCTTGCATCGTTACTTCGTACTGACTTTAGATTTTGGTTCTATTTGCTCCCTAGTTGGCCATTCATGTGAGTGGATTGGTGAGTCGGATTAGAGCTCTAGAGGGCTCAGCCAAGGCATCGAAGGCCTTTGAGCTCAAGGCTGTCAAGTGAGCTTTGACCAATAATGATCTCAAAGCTCAGGTTCAGGACTTACAGGCGTAGGTGGAGAGGCAGTCTTTCGTTATAAAGGGTTTGGAGGCTGAGAAAGAGAAATTGAGGATGAGGCCAAGAAGACCAAGGAGGAGCTCAGGTTGAAAACTAGAGACTGGGTTAAAGCCCGCAAGGATGCCTTCGAGACCTTGGAGTCTTACGAATCCATGAAGAGAGAATACGACATTTTGGGTAAAGTTAATGACACTCTGCGGAGAGAGATTGAAGTTGAGAGATCTACCATTAAAAAGAAGGATGTTCTAATTGCCAAGCTAGAAGATGATGTTACCACCAAGTGGGCCACTAGGTACCTTGCTTTGCAAGATCAAGCCATAAAGAAGTATCTTAACCTAGACTTTGAATTTGATCCCCCTTCGGATAAGGAGGAGGCATCAAGCGTTAAGAAGGAGGTAGAGGTCTTGGTTTCCCTAATTTATGAGCTTGTTCCTAGGGGCGCTAAGGTACCTCTTCCATCAGACGAGGTCCCAGCCTTTATGGGTACTGGGGTGTCTGTTCCACCAGCTGAAGTCTCTTCTCCTGCAGCTTCTTCTATTCCAGCCATTGTTTCTGATTTCCTTGGGCTTTCTGAGCTATCAGGAGCCCCTGCTGCTATTTCATTTGCTGCTACTTTCGAGGCTCCCGATCTTCCAGAGTCCCCTGAAATTTCTACTGATCTTCCTCCACTTGCTTCCTCATACCTTCCCAAGCTGCCTGAAGTGATTCCATATCCGGTTGTTGGCGCTTAGGACCTCTGTTCTTATTTTGCTTATTTTTTCTAAAGAAAAGAACTCTACAACCTACTCTTTATAAGAAAATAAAAGAAATTTTTTTTTCTTGTTAGTGCCTTTGTGTTCTTCTGATTTTTGTGTTCTTCCATTCTGCCTAGTCCTCTTTGCCCCTACTTCGAGGAGAACTTAGTTCTTCTTGAAGTGGATTTCCCAAGTTTGGGCGAGCTAAATAGCTGATGAGCTAAAGAACTGTAGAGTTGAGTGGTTTAGGCCTTAACTTTGGAGGGCTCATTCCTATGAGCTGAGAAGCTTGTGAGTTGAAGTGCCCATCTTTATGAGCCGAAGACCCTTATATTCCCTTGAGTTGTGGAGAGCTCAGCCTTGGTGAACCAGTAGGTTTATTCTTTGAGATCTTTCCTTCATGAGCTAGAGGGTTCAGCCTACTTTTCGTGTGGGAGCTCTTCCCCTATTTATTTCTGTTGCTTTACTTGAGCTTTGCTTATATCAAACTGAAGAGCACATCCTCGGGTAGACCTGAGCTGCTTTTGTCTCAGCTGATCTTATCAGAGCTGGGCTTCTCTTTTAATATGGAAAGTGATAATCTGACTGTTATTCACGCCCACCTACTTTCTTAAAACTCCTTCATCGTAATGATTATGGAAACACAAAGGGCCACATGTTCGTCTTCACGTGTTTCTTGCCCCTTAAAGTTCATGATTCCCTATTATCTTCATAAGCTTTAGGATTTCTTTATTTTCTACGAAATTTGGGGTTTCTTCTTCATCGTTCAACATTCTTTATGAGTCTTCCTTTCTGTCTTTCAGTTTACATGGCTTCCTCTCTTACCTCCTTGTTCAAACATCAAGCCCATACCATGGTTGGCATGGTGTGGTACTCTACCTTCTTGTTTCCTTCTATGCTTACATCCTCAGAGCTAGATGGAATTAAAAGGCAGTTCCTTCTATCTACTGACTTATCCCTCCGAGTTCCTACTCCTGATAAGCCTTGTAATTATCTCCCCCACAAGAGACTTGCTTTTTCGAAGGCACTTTCGAGATGAGCCTTCATTTTGCCCATCCATCATTCCATTGGATGGATTCTAGCCTACCTCGGGTTGTGTCCCTCTCGTATTTCTTCAGAAGGATGGGGTGCTATGTTAAGCTTTTTTATTTTTTGGTGTCTGCAAGGCAATGATGAGTTTCCTATTATTGCTGAGTTCTTCTACTTTTACGATCTTGATTACGACATGCCCCTTGCTTCGGTCGTTTTATATGGAGATGCCACTTTGACCCTCCCTTGGTTCTTGATATTTTGAATTCTCTTGAAGGTTGGACTCAACGCTTTTTCTTCGTTCCCGGGGACTCCTGGAGGTCTGGTGAGTAACAATGTGCACGTTCCCGAGTTCCTTGCTCTTGGGGGTGTTATTCTAGTAGAGGTAGAGGCCTAGGATCTGTTCTTCCATAAGTTATGAGTATTGTGATTGGTTTTGACTGTGTTTTTTCTGTGTAGGTGCCCCCAGTCTGACCTCGACTAAGATGGTGAGAGTTAGTTAAGTGGCTCATGTTGAGCCTGTGTCCCTTTTCAATGCTTGTTACTCCACAGAACCTCTTTTTGTTCAGTGCTACTGCTGCTGCCCTGGATGCTGCCTTGTACCCTTTTTCCCTTGATTCTAAAGAGGATTCTTCTTCTACAGATTCGGACGATGAGGATGTTGCTACTTCCTCATGGAAACACGGAATGGGTAGCACTTCGCCACAATCATCAGACTCTTATTCTAGTGAGGTTGATTTTACAGCCACGGAGCTGAAGCTTGCTTTTGAGAATTCAAGCCTTAAGAACCAGCTTTCCGAAATAAAGCAGGAGAGGAATGAGCTGAAACTAGAGAATGCTCGGCTATGGTCCACAAATGATCATCTAGAGGAGGAAGTATCAAAGCTCAAAAGGTGGTCTAGGGGTGTCTAGGATGCTTTTTTTTTTTATCTTACAATATTTATGAATGAACATTTTTTTTTCGCTCGATGGTTTGCTCTGTTACTTTTGATAACTGGAATGTTTAGGCTAATGAGTCTTTTGCTTAGGGTCCTGAGAGCTCCCTTTCTTTGCTGAGCTGAGGAGCATTGTAGAATCATTTCATGTCCATGAATCGTTTATAGGATTGAGAGCCCATTGTTTGTTTATGAGTTGATGAGCTCATCGTTTGTTTAGTTTGTTTATGAGTTGATGAGCTCGTCGTTTATTTATGAGTTGTAGAGTTCATCTTTTGTTTATAAGCTGGAGAGCTCATCTTTCATTTACGAGTTGTAATCTATCGTTTATGAGCTGAAGAGCTCACCTTTTATTTATGAGTTGAATAGCTCATCCGTTGTTTATGAGTTGAAGAGTCCATCCTTTGTTTAGGAACTAAAGAGCTAATCTTTATTTTATGAGCAGAAGAGCTCATTTGTTGTTTATGCTAGTAATGAACTGCTGATTGAGCAGTAATTTGTCACTTTATTGATGGAGACATTATTACAAGAATTTACTGAAAAAATTGCTTCAAATGTTCAGCGTTCCAAGAATGGGGTAAGATTTTTCCCTCCCCCATTTGCAACTCATAATTCCCGGGTCTAATTATCTTCGAAAAGATGTAATAACCTTCTTAGTTGGGACCTAACTTTCATTGTGTGGGGTCCTTTTTCGTAGGAAGGAGTTTTTTGAGTACCAGATCTCCGACTTTGAAGCTCCTATGTCTGACCCTCCTGTTGTTGTATCTTATTGTTTTCCTTTGGTAACTCATAATGCAATGCAAAGCCCGTCCCTCTTTGCATCCACGAGGTAAAGATTTAGCAGAAGTGACTTGTCATTATGCTTGGGCTCCGAGAACTCAGCCCTAGGGGATGGAATGTCGACCTCTACAGGTGCTACTACTTCGGTTCCAAATGCTAAAGCGAATGGTGTTTCTTGAGTCGTTAATCTGGCAGTAGTCCTGTAAGCCCACAATACTTCTTGGATGTGTTCTACCCATTTCCCTTTCAGAGCTTCTAGCTTGGTCTTCAGAGCTGCTTTTATAGTTTGGATGGTCTCTTCTGCTTGTCCGTTGGATTGAGGATGAGCTCAAGCTGAGAAGTAATTATTTATTCCTAGCTCAGCACAAAACTTTTTGAACTTGGGATTCTCAAATTGCTTTCCATTATCGAAAACGATTGCCTTGGGTATTCCAAACCTACAGATTATAGATTTCCAAGTGAAGTTTTGTACGTTTTGTTCTGTGATTGTTGCCAAGGGATCCACCTCTACCCGTTTGGTGAAGTAATCAACCCCAACAATGGCGAACTTGCACTATCCAGCACTAGTGAGAAGGGGCCCAAGTATGTCCAGACTGCATTACTAGAAAGGTCAAGGGATTACCACTGAGGTTAGGAGCTCTAGTGGACAATGAGGGACGTTTGCATGTATTTGGTGACTTGATCTGAAATGTGTACATCCAAGTACAGGCAGTCAATTTGTAGTAATAATCTGGTTAAATCCGGAGTCGAATCCACAGGGAACTAATGTTGATTTTTTAGAGTAAATAGTGACAGAGACCAAAGTGACTGAAATCTTGAGATTTAAATTGATGATCTTTATGGATTTTTCCTGGACAGAATAAAGTATTCTTTCCAAGAGGATTTTTTTAGACAAAATATAATATTATCTCAAATGTAAAACTCCGGTTATTATACTTGTGCTTGGGAACTCAATTAACTCTTGTGTCAACATAAAGTTAATCGAAAAATAAAGATGGATTGTGAGAATTAAAAGTATGGTTTTGATGTCTTTGTAGAGATTGACAAGAATTGTCTGTGTCGAGACTCAACCCATCTACAAACAAGCAAGTATTTCTACAAGGCATCCAATCATTGCATTGGTATTTCATTCTTAAGTGAAGCACAATAATGGTGAAGATTGAAATGTAGTCATGAATATCCAACCAGGGTACTTGCCTAGAACCAATGAGTTTTCTTATGCCAAGAGTCATCTATTTCATATAAAGGACTCACGGTTGTACAAAGTACCTTAGTTTTGGTAGATGCATTCAATCATTCAATAAGCAAGTGAAATATAAAGCATTAAACACAAACGAAATGCACTAATATAACTTCTGAATGATTTATACATGTCTATCACCTCTTACTAAAGAGTGAATGAGAAACTACTCATTCTTCATGCCTTTGGTAAAGCTAGAAAAGTGAGTGATGCTCATTCGTCCAAATAGAGGAGTTACAAGGTAAATCATACTACACAAGGAGTCGATCTTCAACAAAGAATGAGTGAATCACATTCCACCCTTCATGGCTTTTGTAAAGCTCTAGAAAAGTGGAAGAGTGTCACTCCTCTAAGGGAAGAAGGAAGCTTAAACAATGGAAGCAAATGAAACTAATAATGAAATAAAAGAAAGCAATAATGAAGTAAAAGAAAGCAATAATAAAGCAAAAGAAAGAAATAATGAAGCAAAAGAAGGCAATAATAAAGTAAAATAAAACAATAAGAAAGTAAAAGAAAGTTAGTTACTTTTAGAGGGTTTTTCACCACCAAAAGATGATTTTTTACAAGTCTCAAGGGATGGTATTTATAGGCAACAAGGGAGGGTAAAAATTCTTGTAGTTTGTAGCTTTGATAGTTGGCTCGCCTGTAGTTTGTAGCTTTGACGCAGTTGGCCCCCCTTTAGTTTGTAGCTTTGACAGTTGACTCCCCTGTAGTTTGTAGCTTTGACGCAGAAAATCCTGAAAAGAAAAATAATTAATGCATTATCCCTAATTTACACACTAACCCTAATTTGACTTACTTTAACTCTTTTAACTTTGTTTAACTAACACAATTGACCTATTAACTTAATTAAATTATGCATTAATTAAGGTTAATCACACCCCTCCAACCTAAGCATTACTAGCCCCTAGTAACAAATAACAACATAACAAAATAAAATCACTTTCGCAGATGACACGATTGTATTTAACATATGCAACAAGTCGTTAAACCCATAGGTGACTCCTAGTGGA